GCCGTTTAGTCCGCTTACCGCTTAATCCGCTTAGCTGTTAAGAATGCTAAATAGAAATTCTGTAATAGAAGAGACAAGATAGATGTACCATTGATGGCCACTTTACCATTTGCGGCCAGTATATCATTTATTTCGATATATGACGTATTCTGGTGTTAGTCCCATTAGAATGAATATTGTATACACAGAAGTGTGGGTGTATTAGTATCATTCTCAAATTCTTCATACTGCCCAAATAGTGTTTAGCGGATGACTAGTAAGGAAGCTAGTAATGATTGTATTTTATAAGAGTGTGAATCAAATTTTTTACATACTTGTTTTACGAAACATATGTATATTGCTAAGAATTACGTAAGAATATTAACGGTATTATCATAAATATGTCGAAATTAGGCACTGATGGAAAATAATACTACGAATGTGCGATTGTGTCATTTTTGGTCAATACTTACTTGAAGCGCACAGGAAAACACTGTGAATGTGAAACACAACAAAAGAATTAAAAAAGGAATACAAGAAGCAGAAAATTAAAGAAAATAAAAAGATTCAAGCAGAGAAATTGGAAGAAAAAATAAGAAAAAAGCCGAAAAAAAAATTTGTTGTCACAAAACAAAATAAAATTACTATTAAAGAACGTGTATTATTTGTACCAGAAATTATTGTAATATTTGAGCAGAAATAAGTATTTGTAATTAATTAGAAACTAGAATTTTTAGTGTGTGAATCATCAATTTCACAAATGGAAAGAACACTTTTGTGGCCATAAATGGTGGCCACCTGAGTTGCGGTGTCTATAGAGGGGTGGTTCTTGTGTGAGATTGCAATGATTTTTTAAGTTATCACATTGTGCAGGACATCATTTTTTGATTTTCAGTATTATTAATATACTGTTCTCTTCTTTATATATTTTTACACTATTTAAATGTTAACTAAATGCTACATACCCTCTGCTCTGTTAATGGTGGGAAAATTAAAAGTGAAATTCATAATTTGGTTTTTATCAAGGGGTTTCATTAGAAACTTCAATTTTCATTTATTGTTAGAATACGGAAAAAGTCTAGCCTAACCGGATGATCAAATGTGCCTCTGATCGAAATTTAACTGCCAATGGGACATTCGACAAAGTGTCCCAAGTAAAATTTTCATGCCAATTTCCAGCCTTATTTTCTCAATCCGGAGGGCAGTTATGGAAATGAATAGATTTAAGCATTTTCGCTATGTTTCTTCTATTAAACGTTTAGAAAAAATCTGAAAAAATCCTCGCATATTCTTGGGATGGTACTTGATATTAAAGAACTTTTTCAGATTTTTTCATTATATAGACGTACGTTTAAGAACGATAAAATTTCTGTGTACAAGCAAATTTTTTCAGTTTAATATGTGTTAATTAGTGAGTCATAAAAATTAGTGCTTTTTATTTACATTATTATATTTATGTTGATTAAAAATTGCAAATTTAATATCCCTAATAAACTATTATATGTATACAGCAACTATTATGACTGCAGCAATTATTGTATGTATACAGTAAAAAGAAGCTCAAGTAAAGAATTTATCTATTAGGCATTACGTTTAAAAGATAACAAAATTATTGCATTGTATGTATGTATTTCTCTTTTGTTTGGAATATTTTCCTTACAGTAAATAATCTACGAATTGTTTGAAGTCGTTGACGTTTTGAGGATCGTCCTATATACTGCTCCTTATACTTTCCGAATTAATTCCGTGGAAAGCAAACTTTTCGTGTGTATTGTTGTATGATCAATAGTACAATATTTGCTACCCTATGTTATCTCTAGTTTTTCGAAGTGATTAAAAACGACTTAGTCGAAAGTTCATAATTTCTTTGCAGAGATAAGCAGGGAAATTCCTTATGAAGGAAAATATCATTTTGATTTCGAAAATAGCCCAGAAAAAATGGTGATAAACTCTTGAGAAAAGGTCATATCGAGTCGCCAGTGTTTTATGAACAAATTTCTAAAAAATAATCATCATTCATGGACTTTAAAG